GTGGCCATTCTTGGACAAATATATTTCAAGGCATATACCGTGTTTCCTTTTAGGAGAAAAACGTTATAATCTTAGGGGCTTGATTTGTGTGTCTATGTATACCCCAGAAAGGGAGAAACATTCTCGATAATGAATTGGTTATGGCTCTGTTGACCTATGCTTAGGTATAAATTTCTCCCCAAAATTCTTCAGTGGCCCGAACCTGTAACTTGATCCTGATTGTTCTGGACGTCCTGAAGCCCTTGGGGCATAAGAAGATCATTGAAAACGAGCTGGAAGGCTTTGGGATTCGTTTGAACAGCAAGGCCCCGAACATCGGCTTTAAGAAGAAGGACAAGGGAGGCATTAACCTTACAGCCACTGTAAGTGGGGGCGGGCCATGGGGTTGAGATGGGAATTAGATTAATAATGACATTTGGAAGTTGACTGCTTTCTTTCTGTACTAATTGAGCTTACATAACGATGCCGCAAAGATCTACAGAGAAGACATCAGGAGCAGGACCAGTGTCAGTCTAAGACTTATCCTTTGCAACTTCATTACCTGTTTTGGGTTGTCTGTTTGGGGCGATAGGGGATATGGAGTATCTTAAACTTGCATGGAGCACAGTTGACCCATGGACAACATATATTTAACAGTGTGATGCTGATCATGTCTGCCTGAGCAATTCATCTCTCCAGTAACTTGTGTATTGCAATACAGTTCCCTTTGGTGGTTCTTGTGTATTTTCCATTGTCATTAGTGCAAGACCTTAAACATTGACTAACACCATGGGATTTACAGGAAGTGCCCCAGTGATGCTGGAAATGCAAGAAGCAGAGAGAAGTCATGAAATTATAGGAAAAGCTTGACTTGCTTGTTATGTACTTCATTTTGTTTAAAGAATTTTTCCCTCCTTTATTCATATTTTGTTTTATGACTGTGCTGAAATGTGGAGGAAAGTAACTTTGTTGAAAATCATTGACAGGTTGAGTTTTGTAACAGCCCCCTTCTCCCTCTGACTGAGGACCCGAAGGAAGGGACATGCGGAGCCATCAGGTTATAGAAGGATGCGGTGGGGACAGCAGGGG